CTTCCTGGTCTTTATACTCCTTGCTGCTCCCACAGTACCAGAGGAACCCTGGTGTGATGCTGCCTTTGGGATGAGTTTTCTTTCTCTTGGCATATTCTCTGAATGTGAATTTATTTATTCGTTCTTGATAATATTACACTTTTTTTTACCTGGACATTTCTGGTTATGTTGTGTACTGGTTTTGGCTGGGACAGAGTTGATTTTCTTCATAGTAGCTAGTATGGGGCTGTGTTTTGGGTTTGTGCTAGAAATAGGATTGGTAACACAGGGATGTTTTTATTACTGCTGGTCAGTGCTTGCACAGCATCAAGTCCTTCTCTGCTCCTCACCCCAGTCCACCAGCGAGGAGGCTGAGGGTGCCCAAGGAGTTGGGAGGGAATACAGCTGGGACAGCTGACCCCAACTGACCAAAGGAATACCCCAAACCATATGGTGTCATGCTCAGAATATAAAGCTGGGAAAAGAAGGAGCAAGCATTGGATGTTTGGAGTGATGGTATTTGTCTTCCCTAGTCACCATTATGCATGATGGAGCCCTGTTGTCCTAGAGATGGCTGAACACCTCCCTGCCCATGGAAAGGGTGAATGATTTTCTTGCTTTGCTTTGCTTTGCTTGTGTGTGAGGCTTTTACTTTACCTGTTCAACTGTCTTTATCTCAACCCACAAATTTCCTCATTTTCATTCTTCTGATTCTCTCCCCTGTTGCACCGAGGGGTGGAAGTGAGCGAGTGGCTGCGTGGGGCTGAGTTGCTGGCCGACGTTAAACCATGACATTATGGCACACATAACTATGGTGACAACTGGGAAAGCTGATTTACTTAATCAAATCTCATCAAACCAAACCTGATTAAGGTTGAGTGTTTTGATAACTGATGTATGTTACTCATTTTATCTGAACTAGTATGTCCCCGTTGTAAACAAGAGCAATGCCCTAGTGGTGTGTGCTTTAGGCCATGTTAATGTTACTCTCTTTATTAACTGCATTTGCTTTTATCTTCTTATTAAAATCATCTGTACCTGGTTAGTACAGAATCCTGCTGAGAACATTTTCCTCCTCCAAAATTCCTTGTAGACTGTGTTTTCTAGATTAAATATTACTGTGGCAAGTTAATCCTACAGCATGTTACAATGTAAATATATCGTAAATAGACATGAGACAAAATAACGTTTAAATAAAATATATTCTTAAAAGAGTGGTTTTTGGTTTTATATGAGAAAGGACTGTAGTTTGTTAACTAGTTATCACTTTGTCATTCTTTCTATCACATTGGGCTTTAGGTTTTCTGTCTTTTCTGTCCATGACTATATTTTGTATCTGCAACTAGCATATAATTTCTAGTTCTAAAACAGATGCATTGAATAAAGTCTGCAAGGTGAAAAGAGGTAAAGGTCAAGCCTTTTGAAACTCTCTGAATCATTCATGTAAAAAAATGATCACAAGTGTAATATTGCAGGCAGTCTCAGATGTGCAAAATTGTTTCCACTTCAGATAGAAGGCTGATTGGTGACTTTGAAAAGAAGCATGTTTGCTGTCTGCAAACTCTTTTGAAGAATTTAGATTGGCTTAGCTTTATGGAAAGTTGACAGACAAAAGCATTTTTATTTTCTTTTTAATTTCAGCATAGTGAATTTCTACACTGTCTGTTTATGAGTTTACCAAAACAAACATCATCAAGATGATAATAGCCCTCCTATTGCTTGCAATAGATCACAATATGAAAAAATGTGCTGTGGTTTAAGTATTTTACTCAATAAATATTTTGTACTCAGTTGAAAAGGATTTTCACTGGTACTCTTAGTAAATCCTAACAGTAGACTCTTGATTCTACCTTTGAATGTTGTTACACTGAGTGTACCTCATTGTACTACTAGTGTTCAACACCTTAGGAAGTTGTTCTTCTGGCATCATATACTTCATATACTTCGCTTTTCTGAAGGACTTTGAGATTTGCAGAAGGAAAACAAAATGTCATTAAGAAAAAAAAAGTTAAAAATGCATTCGCTCTGTTTTTGGTTTTAGTCTGTCATGCTGCCTACATGAATTCTGTTAGAGGTCATACAACCAATAGTATCTAACCTTCATACTCATAAATGCATGAAAAACTATAACGTTTCAGCCTGTGGTTAATAAAATCACAACTAGAAGACAGAAGCATAACTTGCAGATCTAATTTGCAGTGGAAAACAATTGTCTTCAAGGTGGGGAGTCTGTCTGCAGTTAGTGGAACAGAAGAGTAAACATACCTTGGTTAATTGGCTAGTAAGGCTAAAGGCTTCCTGGAGTGTAGCAGGCTATGTAATTTTAGACTATACAGTGTATAAAAATACACTGCTGAGTGTAATGAAGGTCTGGTCTATCAAAATACTGGCAAGTGGCATAAGGAAACAGAGCATGCATAGATAAAAGAGTCACTCTGTGAGTGATTAGATAAGGTAACCAGGGCCCAGTCCTACTTCTTTATTTCTTGTAATGGCAGTGGATTGATGTTGTTCACAAACACAGGATTTTGGTCTATTTTTGAGACAGAGCTGTCTGTGTCCTTATTGATGATCTGGATGAGGGGATTGAGTGCATGCTCAGTAAGTTCACAGATGACACTAAGCTGGGCAGGAATGTTGATCTGCTGGGAGGTAGGAAGGCTCTGCAGAGAGATCTAGACAAGCTGAATCCATGGATTGAGGCCAATTGTATGAGGTTCAATAAGGCCAAGTGCCGGGTCCTGCACTTCAGCCAGAACAACCCCATGCAACGCTGCAGGCTGGGACAGAGTGGTTTGAAAGTTGCGTGGCGGAAAAGGCTGGGGAGTGCTGGTCGACAGCCACTGAGCATGAGACAGCAGTGTGCCCAGGTGGCCAAGAGGGCCAATGACGTCAAAAATAATGTGGCCAGCAGGACCAGAGATCTGTACTTGATGCTGGTGAGGCCTAACCTTGAGTACTGTGTCCAGTTTTGGGTCCTTCATTACAAGAAGGACATTGAGGTTCTGGAGCATTTCCAGAGAAGGGCAACAAAGATGGTGAAAGGTCTGGAGCACAAATCTTATAAGAAGTGGCTGAGGGAACTGGGGTTGTTTAGCGTGGAGAAAAGGAGGCTCAGGGGTGACCTTATCACTCTATACAATCACCTGAAAGGAGGTTGTAGCCAGGTGGGGTTCAACCTCTGCTCCCAGACAGCTAGTGACAGGGCAAGGGGAAATGGCCTCAAGCTGCACCACAGAAGGTTCAAGTTGCACATCAGGAAGAATGTCCTCACTGAAAATATGGTCAGTCATTGGAACAGGCTGCTCAGGGAAGTCGTGGAGTCACCATCCCTGGAAGTGTCCAACAAACAAATGGACTTGGCACTTGGTGCTATGGTTTAATTGACATGATGGTGTTCGGTCAAAGGTTGGACTCGAGTTTGGAGGTTTTTTCTAACCTTTATGATTCTGGGATATAAAAAATATTGGTTTTATGTACTTCTTGACAATCTTACTGCTCCTTTCTTAACTTCAGAAAGGTTAACTTCATTTCAGAACAGTTATTGTGTTTGCTCTGAAAAGGTAAAGCTACAACAATATTCTGTCTGTGAAGCTCTTTCAGATTTTTCAGGGGGGGTTTATATGTTTCTCTTTTTTTCCTTTTTTAGTGGGTTTTTTTTTTTTGTTTTGGAGGTTTTTTAAAGCTTTAGAGCTGTGTTTGTTTTCTGATACTGAGTTCTGAGATACCTAGCTGATGTTATCGTACCATAACTGCAGTAATTAAAATCTCTTTAAACCTGATGGAGAGACTTAGGTTGTAATTTAAGAAATGGTTATGCACTTTACATGGGGACAGTCTCATGCAAAATGCAGAAACAGTCATCCAGATAGGAAACCATTCTGCTTGCTCTTAGGGAAGACATGGAAATGCTGGAACGTGGTAGAGTTGTGCAGTTTCTAATGTTTCTCTTGTGAACTTTGGAACTACTACCAGTAGGATCCTGCTATTTAAGAAGTTATGCACTTTATAAAGTTTAGAGATCTTGGGCACTAACTCCTCAGCAGCGACTTTTGGGTGTACACTTTTAGATTTGAGCTCCAAACCTAGATTTGCAACCTATTTTAGGAACCATTTATTTGTGTAAATGTGTTTCTTCTGCTTCTTTGTGCAACCCTTTCTCTCAAACAACAACTTGATAGTTATTTCTTCTCAAACAAGTGATGTTTTCTTTATAAAAAATTGGATTACTCCAGGAAAGGCTGCAGCATTTTCTGTTTGCTAGAGAATGTTCTCTTCTTGGTCCAAGTAGACACACCTACTGTTATAGTTTTGTTTTTAGATCAAGACTATATGATTTCAGTGCTTTTATTGTATTCCTTTAGCATCCAAACAATTTTTATTTTAAATTTTATAAACCTTATACTTCACATTTTAAAACAGAATTTCTGTGTTTGATATTTTCTTATGTAATTTTTAATTCTTATGGTCCCATTTGCAGCTGCTGGGATCTTCCATAACTCTCCTGATCAGCTGGTCATTTGTCTCTTATAACTAAAATTTTTTTATAGATTGCTTATGGTTTGGGGTAAGGTTTCTCTGAGGGTAAAAGGGAGGGAGAGAGGACCTGAGTTTAAATAGCGTCTTTTAAAAATATTGTGGGCATGTGACTTTAGGCAAACCTGTATTACTTGTTGAGGTTTCTCAGTGTAGAACACAGTCTATCTATTGAAAATGGGCCCTCTTAGTTTCACTCTACTGTTGCAATGAATTCCTTTAAAATCAGTGGACCTGCTTTTATGGAAATGTGGATGTGCAAGTATTTGTCAGATGAATGCCTGAATTGACATTATAGGTGTATTAAAATATATTTGTTTTGTCTGATTTTAGTGTTACATGTAAGGTATCCTCCTCCACAGTGACTGCATTACTAAGCAAAAAAGCAGGTAGAAGATGCTTTTCTGTTGAGTCTGATATGACCTGAGTAGTTGTGTTAACCTCAGAGGTCTGTAGAACTTCTAACTGATCAATTTGTTTTGTAGGGTGAAATGGGCATGAAAGGACAGGATGGTGTCGCTGGTCTGCCTGGCGAAAAGGTATGTTTGTGTATGTTGATATGTAATTTAACTTATGGGAAGTGTTCATTATGTCAGTGGATTATCTGTAGTCATGTACAGAAGTGGGAGGATAGAACACTTCTATTAGAAAATTGACTTCTTACCTGCACTGCCATGTTTTTGTAGCACACTGAAATGCCACGCAGATCAATCGTATTCTCTGCAGATGTGCTTGTTTGGTGGGGTTTTTTTTCTGTAAGTGAGGGAACTAAAGGGACTACTTGTTCCACTGCCCATTTGTGATCTGCAAGCCTAAATAAGAGCTTTTGTGCACTCAACAGTCTACTTGGTAAAGTTTGGGATAAACACCACTAACCTCTGAAGCAAAGACTTGGAATAGCTGAGAAGGCATGCCAACCTAACCTGTGTATTCGGGAGGATAGGTTTCATTTCAGAATGTTAGTGTGCATTTATTGGGTTCAGTGCTAATTACCTGTATTAGAGGAATCCTATAAGTCTAACATGCAGCAACTTCAGTATAGAAGACAGCTCTCATAGCACTGAGGAAACAGGTTGTTGCTGGAGTTTCTAATCATTTGATATCTTGTGATTTTATTGTTTTTCTTTTCCATATGAACAGTTGAAATAACAGTAGATTTTTGGCATATACATGGAAGCCAGTTAATATATAATGAATGAAACTCTCCAAGTACATATATTAGTGATGATTTTTTAAAAATGTTTTAAAATTTAATTCAGTGGTATCTTCAGCATCATGATTTAAGTTCTCAACCCTCAATTCTCTCAATTTAGGTTCTTTTTCATCATGTACTTCCAGTTACTGTTCTTTCAGTGCCGTAAACCATTATGTCTTTTAAAGGCAGCTGTTGCTATGAAAGGCTCAGAATTTCAATACTGAGCTTTATTGTTTGACATGATGGTCTCATACGTATGCAGTGTTTTAGTAATGACAAAGGGTTTAGTTTATTTTGTAGTTATCCAAATTTCTAAGTACTGAGAGAAGCAGAGTTTCACATCATCAGGTTTAAAATCTGTGATTTACTGAACATAAAATTATGAAACTGTCTTTTATTTTTACTTACTATTTATGTTTCAAATTGTGTTTTGTTGAAAGTGGGCAGTAGATATATATTATTACTAAAGATTTGAGTTAAAAATCAAGGCATTTGCTGCTGATGGTAAGTAATATGTGGTAGAAAAATGGGGAGCAGACTGCAAAGATGTTCAAAGGACATTGCAATATTGAGGAACTGAATTCTAAAATGATACATAAAACTCAGAGAAAATAATAGCCAAGTGATGCAGATGAAGAGGAAAACAAAGGAAATATTATGCATTTTATGTAAGACTCTGGAATAGCTATTACTGTTCAGGAAAGTGATCTTTGAATTACAGATCAGTGAAAAAATGAACTCACTGTTTAGTACCAGTCAAATAAACAAACAGAATTTAGAAATTATTAGGAAGAGAATAGGGAACAAAGCAAAAACATCTTAATATCACCATTATTGATGAATCCATATTGTGCTGCAACTTGAATGATGTATACAGTTCTGATTCTCACATCTCAATGTGGATCTAATATTACCAGAAAAGATTCAGGTGAGGTGTTAAGAGTGATGAAGAGCATTGGGCATCTTCCAGTTAAGGTGTGACAACGTGGACTTCAACCTGAAAAAGGCACAACTAAGATAAGACATGTCCTGTTCTGTGCTCTGTACAGTAATGAATGGAGCAGAAAAGATTAATAGGGATTTATTTATTTATTTTAGTCTTCAGAGTGTGAACTAGAGCATCAAACCTATCTGATAGTTCAAAAAGGAGAGAAAGGGCTCATTCTTTCTGTCATTATTACAGTTTGAACACTGCCACAAAACTTAAAAAGTCTGCAAATGTATTAGAAAATTGATGGAGTAAAATCCACAAAGTATGTCAGGCTTCTTGTCTGAGCTCCAAGACACTGAAGTCTGGGAAACCCACTAGAGAAGTTTTTATGACTACACTATTGTTTTTCTGTAGACACCTGTTCTTGCCACAGTTGTAGTCATATAACTGATTATAGAAACCTTTGATTTGATCCAGCTAAACCGTGTTGTACTCTACTGTGCTCCTAGTTGTGAATTAATGGGAAGAGTTATTGTAATGCATTGTACATTGATTGAGATTGATCTAGAATGTAGCTGTGTTTTCCCTTGGCTCTTCCTGTAGCTCCTACTCTGATATTATCTTGCTTTTAAAATTACCAGGCTATGTTGCTTTTCCACTACCAGTTATTATTACTGTTTCCATGGTTAATACTGTTTGGGTTTTCTTTTTGCTAAGTGCCTTGCAGATTCATTGTCAGGCCAAATCCCAAAGCTCCTGTTAGTTTACATAAGGCTCAACAGTTAGATCATATTTAATATCAAGACATTGTACTTTGTCTGAACATTATAACTCTTTTAATTCAGGCTACGTAAAAACCATACCATTTTTGCAAATTAAAAATGAACTACCGTGAAATCTAAAACTGTCAAAACTGAAAACTTTTAAAATACAAAAGGCAATCAAAATATTTTTTACATGCATAGCTAGATGAAGAAACTGAGATCCAGCTACCCAGCTTCTGCTAGCTGGACTTGTCATGTCTATGCAGAGTAGTACAGTGCTGTGTTCAATTATCAGCTTCTTTCTGGAGGCAGAATCACTATTTTCCTCATATTGTGAAAGGTGTTAACATGCTCTGCCTCTCAGCTGATGCATCAGGAGCTATATAAATTTGTGGAGTCTTTTATTTTTTTGCTCCTTCAAGTGTGGTGTTCTGGATGCTAACACTGTACATGATCAAAGACAACTAAACGAAGTAGAGGAACAACACCAAGCCTGTCTGAGTTCAATAAGCATTTGGAGAATTCTCTCAGGCACACAAGGTGATTCTTGGGGTGTCCTGTGCCGGGCCAGTTGGAATCAATGATCCTGATGAGTCCCTTCCAACTCAGCATATTCTATGATTCTATGATAAAATACTTAAAGCACTGTTGTATGCAAAGGCATCTCCTACATTTCAGGACGTTGAGGTGCAGACTGTGCAGTGCTGGGAGAGCATTCTCAGGAGCTAATGCTGTTTGTTTATCCTCTTAAAGCCTTCAGTATGCTTTATCTTTTGTTGGAGATGTTATAATTTCTTGGTATGGCTATTTTTATGGTTTTCTGCCCTATGTTTTTTGAGCTTTGTGCAGATGTACCCCTGAGTCACTAGTTAGAAACAGGAGGAAGAAAAAAGAAATTATACAATATTTTTTAATGTAAATGCAGTTTGAGGCTTCAAAGAACAGAGGGCTTTTTGTAATATACCCCAAAACTATCTGCTGCAGTACTCCCTTCCTCATACTCCTTTCCCTGGAGAAAGGGGAATAAATAAGTAACAGACTTTACTCATGTTGTTATGCGTAAGCAACAATATCAATTCATTTGACCTGTTTTGGATGTTTACATTAGAATGGGATAAACTTGGCTATTGGAAGTCTTGTTTCTTTAGATTGATTATCTCAAGCATAACTGACATTGTAGTGAAAAACTGAAGTTATAGTAATACTACGCAATAGACTCTAGTATTTGAGAGAATCTCAACAGGAGAGTCTTCCAGAACAGTGCTCAATGCTTGTATACTTGATTTTCAAGATCTGCATAAATGGTGAGACTTCTGTAAGCTTCATATGTGACCTTGACTTTCAAGGATCTAAGATGTGAAAATTTTTCAGTCTGTGTTCAAATGGACTTCTGTCACTTTTCAGACATACTATCACTGACAACATAATTTCCCATTCACTAAATGCTGCAGTGGTTTTGCAACAGTTGACTGGATAATAGGTGCACAAGTAAGTTGTGTAGATTTCTAGGAGGTTCTTACCATTTTAGAGGTTGGATCTGCTGAACAGCAGTGAACAGCACTTAGGTCTTGGCTCTAGGATGACATAAGAATAGCCTTAACACCCTAAAGAAAACAGAGGAGTGTTCAGGCCGTACTTCTGCCATTTTGCTGGTTTTTCTAATGCAGTTCTTGTAAGCTGCCAAAGTGAAAAATGAGGTTCCTATTGACTGCCAACACACCACAAGGTGCTTGTTGTCTCATCTGCCTTCAGGTCAAAAGCAGTCAGTGTGATGGTGCTGATAAACAATCTAGAGAGTCAAGAATCTAATGCAGTCCCTGGGAGCTCTACCTCAGGCCCCCAAAGTCACAGCATAGTAGATAGTGGGCACCATTGCATATGTGACTGTCTGTTTGTTGCCTACCTACCTATTTCCTTCATTCCTGTCCTTTTTCAGGGAACTGTCTTAAGAGATTTTTCTTTTAAATGGTAAAACCTACTTAGGGCAACACAATAAATCCTTGAGAGTATCAGAGGAGATAGTTATGAGCTGTTAATTTATAGTTCTAAAAAATAAGAGCGTAGTAGTCTTCCCTCGGAAGGAAACTTGCTTGCTTTGTAGGCTACCAGAAGAGATGGAATGATTCCTTTCCTGCAATTAGGACTGATTTGTAGCTCAGCCTTCTGGGAACACTTCAAGATAGCTGTCAAATCACGATACAAGAAGAACTGGAATGTTGCGATAAATCAGAATCCCTATACACCTGAGACCCTCTGCCTTGGCCTTCTGGAGATGTTCAGCAAAGTGTGTGAAAACAGCCTACTTTTTGGCAATTAGCAAGTGAAATGGACTCTGGAGACACTTTTGAAGCTATTTAATATAATTAGATTGCAGACAGAGTACTGGTTATGGCCTGAGAAATTAAATCTGTCCTGAAGTGTAGGTTTGAGGTGACTGGAGTACTTTAAGGTGTATGATGACAGTCACCTATCTGTTGCAGATCAGGCTTCACAAGTTAAGCAACACTAATCTAGCAATTAGACTAACCTCATTATGGCAACAAGAACTGATTGCTCTGCCATTAAGAATGATCTTCATCTATTACTGCTGTGTGCAGGGTCGCATCACAGGCAAGATTGGTAAGCAAGATTGTTACACTGCTGTAAAGT